TTATTTGTTCTTATTTTTATTTTCTTTATGTAACTGCCAAACTGGCCGCCCACTTAAGGGCATACTTGTCATCATTAATTTTTAGATCTTAATAAAATAGGGTTAGAGGAGAATGGAGAATTAATTCGACTCCTTCTTCTCTTACCTCTTCTCTTCGCCATCTTCTTCTCTTATACAGTTATTCAGATTTGTTTTATTCTGCTAATCACTGAATTCAAACTTGATATTAGAGGACTGATTTACAAAGATAAATCTAGCTTTAAATGAACACATCAATTTCCAACAATAAAACCACCAATAAGATAGATCCTTTTATGATCTTCCAGATCAAGATAACATGATTGTATCATGCATCCAATAGCTACAGTTTCTTTTTCACCCTTCACCCAAGACCATGGTTTCTTACTTACTTGGACAACCAAACAAAGTATAAAAGTTCATTTAGACAATAACTTGGATTAGTTTTTGATTTTCATGCAATCAATTAAGTGGTTAGTTAACCCTGCACGAGTTCCATGTACAAAACATACAAGACATAGGGAGGGAAGGCAGCTTTTATCTCTTTGAGCTTTTATATAAACGTATTACTTTCATGATCAAGTTGGACACTACTATCGATGCTAAGAGAAGATTTAATTCAAGCATTGGCGCTGCAATGGTGCATCAAGACTTATAAGTCTCCATAACATTTTTCAAAATCATTCTGACTAATCAAATTGAGAAGGAGATAAGTTCTTGGAAAAAACAATAGCAGAATCTGTGTTAAGAATAGCAAATACCTGTTGACCAGAAGGCCATAAATATGGGTTGAAGCGAACAGCTCTATAACCATCCTATTGCAAGACAAATTCTGTGTCAAAATGAGTTTTACAATGTGAAAATAATCTTGAGATACAATAACATTAAGTTCTTCCAATGACCTTCAAGACAAGATTCTCTAACTGGTTAATCCCACTTCCATCTTCTGAAGGATTAGCAAGACAACAGCCAACAAATTTGGATGGGTACTTCCTCAAAACACTATCCATCCACAAAATTTGAGTAAGCCAACTAAGCCAATGATCCTTTCTATGTGCTAGCGAAGAGGAAATAAGTTCCAATAATAAAAAAAGATATAATTAGATGTGAGACACCGATTCATAAAGTAGTTCTAATGATTCAATCCAAACACAACCTACTGGAGAACCAATTAGTGCTTTAAAAGGTGAACGACTGAAGAAAAAATTAACTCTCCACGGTTGTTCTTGGCTGAGTGGCATGTACTTCTATGGTGCCCTTTTCCAACCATGAAGCATGGCCAAGCAACCCTTCTCAACTAGGACCCAACACCAAGGTGGTTTGGCCAACACTGGACAAAGAAATATTGAATGACAACGTGAGGACTCCAACTTGAGACCTCATTTTTTATAATGGGGACACCAAACATGGATTAAAATAAGTATGAAAACATTCATAAGAGTAAATTGCACCTCTCTGTGGTAAAAATATACAAGCAATTTAATTACTATATAAACAAATAAATTTAAGATGCAGAAAGTTCCTCAATTAATATTATGTAATATTATATGGACAAATTAGGTAGCTCCTGGATTACTATACTTCAGATATCAGTATATCACTGATAATCTTGTAAAAAACATGAACAATTTTACTGATCTGAAGCATTTAGTTTGCAATCCATATAAGATCTTTACACAGAAAATCAACCCAATTGAATAAGTTAATCAACTACAAGGTTTAATCTTTTTTAATGGTTAGAAGTACCCAATCAAGCTGATTTTGCCTGATAGATCTCCTATATGAGGTCTAAAATGTACAAGGTTCAATTTAAAAGATCTTCCACTACTTGTCTGAAAATAAACTAGGTTACCATACTTGTAGTAGTACAAGGGCTATTGAATGTTTCTCCATATTCATATCATACTGTAAAGCCTTCTGGGACAGCTATACTCATTCCCCCAGTTCATGTCAGTCCTATCCCCATCATACATTGGAGATTTTCCTAGCTGATAATATAGGCACCAGTCTCTGACTCCTGGTTCCAGGAGTTCCAAGAAACAACAGTTCAGCTTGGATACATGGAAAAGACTTCAGAGCTGAAACATGGCGTGTAAATAGAGGTTGTAGGGGGGAAATTGCACAGAGCCTCAACCATGTTAGCACATGAAAATTTACGGTTTGCTTAAACTACCTCTCTAAATGACTTACTGGTAAACACCACAGTCCCACCTTATATACACATATATGCATGGAAGCTTTTTTTCCTAATTTCATTGTCAGATGTTCCTTTACTATAGTCTCTTGGAAAGATGGTAAATAAAAGGTAGTTTATGATGAGTATAAATTCTGTATTACCAAAGGGCTCAAAACATATGTAGCCCTTTGCCAGTTAGCCTGCTAAGCACCAGTCATTGGCTGTCAAAGCTAGCAGGAAAAAAGGAAAGCTGATATGAACTGACCTCGTCACCAAAGAATGGTCGAACTTATGATTAATGGGCTGCACAATTAGGGCACCATCTATTCCTGCTTCTTCCATGCACTGTGGCAGCATGGAAATAAAATATCAGACCATCTATTTTCTACATAATGTAATATTTTACATTATTTTAATATTTGTCTCGCATATTATTTCCCAAAAAAGAGAAGGTTAGAACTTAGATAACATTTGGACATTGATCCTGAGATACAGAAAGCATGACACCATATGTGAGACACATTGAATCAAATCATAAGCAGGGATTATATATTTTTTGTTTTTCACACAAACAATATTTTAGTTCTATGTCTAAGAAATGCATAAAATGGTATTTAAAAGTTAAAATCCAAGATTAATTTAAGCCAATGTGCCATATATACTATTATCTATACCACTATAGAAAGTATGAATAACTTTGTGGCACTTTTTTGACTAAAATACCCCTATTTTTGAATTTAGTCTCTCTCCTATTGTGTGGGCAAAAATGTAATCTGAACTACTACTTTTCACCCATTTCAATTCCCTCTCATTTAAGTCTTATATTTAAGGTATTGACACTCGTTCTCTCTCATTAGATCCTATATTTAAGGCTTTTTTTCTCACCAATAAATTCTATTAATTAGATCTATATCCAATACTTTTGACAATATAAAACCTATGTTTTTTATAACTGACCCAAAAATGAGAGCATTCTTCTATCTAGGTGAAAGGTAATCAATTCAACCATCTAGGTCAAATGGGTCAACCCATGAAAAGATAAAAACACAAAAAAAAATGAAAAATACATAAATTTTGTAGGTATTTGGGCACATTTCTAATATTATATATTCATCATATTAGACAAAAATGTGATAAAAATTATTTTTGTACACAGAATATAAAAAATATAGAAAAATTTGGACACATATTATTACTATCATCACCATCATCTAAAGTTGCCACATGCAAAGCATGTGCACATTTGCTAGTATATTTAAAAAGCAATGAGTGGTATAGCAAGTAGAGAAGAAAAGTTAGTATGACTTGACTTCCATTGGTCACATGTCTCTTACATTCATATTGATCATTTTCATAACTTTGGCATGACAACTATCAATTTCTCTGCATGATCTGTAAGACTAACTGATGAAGGGAAATTTGGCCCGGCCTCGCGATCGCCCGACACGTGGCAAAGGCAAGCAGCTCGGGACAGTAGAGCACCCAAAGCGAACATCGGAAGCAAGTCCAAACTCACTACCGAGCCTGAACTCCAGACCGCCGTACTTAGTCCGAGCTCCTTGTTAAGAGCGAGCTCCCTGTCAAAG